GGAGGCTGCGGCGGCTGCTGCGGCTGCGGCTGCTGCTGCGGCGGCTGCTGCTGCTCCTGCGGTGGGCAAAGTGGCAACGCCGCTCTGGGGCGTCCCTGGGAGCCCGGGGCGACGGCAGGTCGCGCCCCGGACACTCGTGTCGTGGAGCCGGTCTCACCGGTGGGGTTGAGGGACTCTCTGCCCCGGTGCCGCTCTGGTCACATTTCCCTTTTTCTGCAGAGTCGCCTGCCACCAGGACAGTCAGGTCAGGATCTCCTGCCCCAGTGTCATCCTGGAGGCTCGCCCCCTCGGAGGGAGTCACAGCCAGCGTGAGCCCCTGGCCTTTCGGGCTGTGAGCTAAAGTTGACACGCGGTGCCAGCTTTGACAATACTAGTAACCCAAAGGCTGAGATGAGCGAGCTAGGCTGAATTTCAGCGTTTCAGGGTAGGCCGTGGGAGAAGAAGCAGGCGCGTCCTGCGTCGGGAGTGCATCGGGAAGCATAGCTTATGTTTGCTCAGTAACTGAACGGTCGCATTTTTTGTTGAAATGGAGGGGCATCCGAAGTAGACTGTTAGGGGGTGGGTTATCTCAAGGAGATACGTGGGAGACACATTCACGATCAGAACAGAGAAACCAGACACCGTGTGTGTGTGTGTGTGTGTGTGTGTGTGTGTGTGTGTGTGTGTGTGTGTGTGTGTGTGTGTGACATTGACCGTAGCAATTTACCGAACACTGCTGTATCAAGTGCTGCAGCGTGTTTATAGAGTATCTTAACCCCGAGTTCTGAGGATTCAATTATGTTTTACGGTTTTCCCAGATCCTGAAGTCAACAGTAGTAACCAGTGAGAGCATCCGTGAAAGAATCACTGGTAAGTGAGGGAAAGATAACAGGAGAAAAGATTAGCAATTGAAGAAAAGCTTGATCTCTCACACCAGAGTAAATGCTTAGAGGAACACTTAAAAAAAAATGAAACCATTAAAAATAGGAGAAAATCTATGGTGATTTTCAGTGGAATCTATGGAGATAGCTCAGTGGTTTAGAGCGCTCTGTGCTTTTCCAACGGTTCCCAGAACCCAGGTCTTGCTGCTCACATCTGCCTGTAACTACAGCTCCAGGAGAATCTGACACCTTTGGCCTCTGTGAGCACCTGCACTCATGTGCACATACACACATAACTAAAAATATTTTTAAGTAGAAAATCAAAGGTGAATATATTGATAACCCTGAGGTTAATTAGAAAGGCTTTTTCCAAGTATGAAGTAAACTACAAGAAATAACAAAGACTGTAATAGACCCATAAAATTGAAAATAGCCATAGAAAAGTACATTTGTATCATTTGCAAGAAGAAAAATATTCCCAACATACAGCTCTTAGAAAATCAAGTATAAATAATACAAGTTGAGAGGTGTGTGCATACAATAGAATACTCTTGACCCATTAAAACATTCCATTACAGATGCCCATAGAATCTGGGATGTATTTGCCCAAACATAAAATCAAAATACAGATCACAATGTACAGAATATGAATACATGTATGTTGATATATATGAGTACAAAAATCTAAAAGAATGTGAGAGTGATTTCTATCTTTTGGATGTTTTAATCCTGTTTGGGATTTTTAATTCATAAATGTATTGTTTTATGAAAGTGAAGTCATGTTTTATTTTTAATTAAAGATGTACCAGGGAAAGGAGAACCAGTTGACTGCAGGCCCTCACAATTATGTGACCTTGGGACCAGGTCTAGGATGGTTTTGTTTGTTTGGGGTTCGTTTGCCATAGATTTGATTAACTGACCTGTAGATCTGCAAGCTAACATACCACTTGCGTGTCTTGATTCTGACTTTTCTTCCTGGACTAACGCCTCCCGCTGTGTTCTCTGTGCCCCTCATAGTATTTGTCACACTGTCCTGGAATTCCCTCTACCACTGGATTCTTTTTGCTCCTCCTGAACATACATGCATCTTTCTGCTATATATTACACATTTTCTTATCTGTCATTTGCCTTTGTAGTTGTGAATTTGCACACTATTATAGTCCCAGTACTAATAGAATTATGTAGCTTTTAGAGGGATACCTGGATTACCTGTACTAGTAATAGATTTCCCAAGCTGCCCTGAGGCCGGGGATAGAGCTCGGTGACAGAACACTTGCTAGCCTGTGTGCGACCCGAGGGAAGGAAGGGGAAGGGGGAAGATAGGAACTGACACAAAAGGAATAAAACATTGAAGTAACTCAGTCTTGAACAATTGATAACCAAAAACCTTCTGACAAAAGGAACTCCAGGCACATATAGCTGTACTAGTGAATTTCATCAAACATTTTAGGAAGAGTTCCAATCCTATCCTGTTTCAGAAAACAAAACAATGAGAAACACTCTCCAGTTTCATGAGTTCAGCATAATCTTAGTACCAAAATTGGTCAAGAACATTTATAATCACAGACCAATATTCTCCATAAATAGACTTTTTAATTCTCAAAATATTATCAAATTAAAATTTACAATATAGAAAATTAGATACCATGACCAAAAAGGATAAAATTTAATATGGGATAGGGATTTATAACATTAATGGAACAAAAATAAAACAAAGCCATAGTCCCAATAGACACAGAAAAAAAAATATTTTACAAAAATCAAAACTCATTAACATTAGAAAGTCTCAGCAAGCTGAGAACAGAAGGGAACTTCCTCGAGTAGTTTGGTTATCATATTTTGAAAACATAATGGGGAAATAGAAAATCTGCTTCCACTAAAATCATGCATGGCATTAACACAAAAGTTTCTATATCAGATGAGGATGCACACACCTGTGCTATCAGCTACTTAGGAAAGCAAGGTACAGTGATGTACCTTCAGCCTGTGAGTTCATGGCCATAGCAAGATCCTATCTCAAAAAGAAAGAAAACAGAAAAAATAATTTTTTACACTGTTAAAGACCTAGGAGACCTTAATCAATGCAATTAAGCAAAAAGAAAGTGTCTATAGATTAGAAACTCGGCTCTTGGTTTCAGGACTTGCTACAAAGCTATAAGAAGACAGTTCTGGGAAGATGGATCTATGGGTAAAATGCTTCTGTTGCACAGGCATGAAGACCTCAATTCAGATCCCTAACATCCATGTAAAAACGAGGCACAGCAGCACACATCTGTATCCCAAGGGTTTGCAGGCCAGCTAGTCTAGCTAAACAGCAGCCCCCAGCTTTAGTAAGAGACCCTCTTAAAAAATAAGATGGAAATTGATAGAGGAAAACACCTAACATAGACCTCTATTTTCCACACATGGGCACAGGCAGGCATACATTCACAAACATGCATGTACCACATGCACATACACAAAAGAGAGTACTGTCATAAACCTAAATTGTATACATAAGTGAGACATAATTGAGTTCAGAAATGTATACTTGTGAGTTGGTTTTCTGTAAAAGTGTTGATAATTCAATAGGAAAAGGGATAAATGGACTGGGAAAACTAGACAGACAGACACATATGGAAGGAAGTTGGGAATCTACCTCACTCCAGTTACAAGTGTTTTCAGATGAACCAAGGACGGAGATGTAATACCTAAAACTATAAAACTCTTAGGGAAAAAAACATAACCAGAAATCTTCATGATCTTGAATCAGATAGCATTTTCTTGGATGTGACACAAAAGTACAAACCATGAAAGAAAAAAGTCACCTCATTAAAATCCAAACCTTTTGTGCTTACAGAGAATAAGAAAATTAAGAGAGAGTTACATCAAAAACAAAACAGCCTACTCATAAACTTAACCAATGAGGTAAGAACTTCTAAAATAAAACTTTCAAATAGTGGACAAGTTGAAAACCCTAAAAGACCAAGTAAAAACCTATTTCATGGGTCATCAGAACTAATATTAGGAAAGTAGTCTACAGATTCAGTGAAATCAAAGAATGCAACCACATTCTTTGCAGAAATAGGGTTGGAAAAAAAATCCAAAACTTCATATGGTCATATGAAAGACCCCAGATAGTCAAAGCAATCCTGAAGGGGAAAAATACTAGAGAAAGAACAGTATCTGATTTCAAATCATATTACAGAGCCATAGGAACAAAAACAGTATAATACTGGCACACAAACACCCAACGTTGTCTTCTGGCCTCCACACACATGCATACATACATGTGTACCTGCACACTCATATCCACATGCATAAAAGACACTATCAATGATTAAAAATTGATTCATAGGTTAGGAGAAAAATATTTGTAAATCGTGTATTTGATAAGATACCCAGATATGTAGAGCACTAAAACTCAAAAACAATGCAGTTAAAAGTATGGAAGGCTGAAGAAATGGGTCAGTGCTCTTGTAGAGGAACAGTGTTTAGTTCCTGCCATCCACATCAGACAGCTAACAACTGCCTGTAATTCCAACTGCAGAGAATCCTATGCCCTCTGGTAGCCGCCTCAGGTACCTGAGCAAACATAGACATACATACACAAAGACTTGAAAAATTGGAAAATAAAAATAAAAACAGGGTTGGAACTAGGGGTGTAGCCTATTTGGTGGAGTTTTGCCTAGCATGTACAAAGCCCTGGGTTGGATCCCTATGACACCATAAACAGGTGTATCCCTGTAGTCCCAGCACAAAACAAAACAAAAAAAGCTGGAAGTGGTAATAGTGGGGGCAGGAATGTGAGCTTGAGGCCAGCCTGGGCTGCATAATGAG